TCGTTACATCAAGCAGACCTCTTTTTGCTGTGTTACAGTTGTTCCCCTGACCATCGTGTTCTCCTACGCTCTCCCACTCTGGGCAAGGCCTACATTTAACTATGTTCCCCAATTTAAAGCACACTGACTGAAAATTAAAGCTGTATCATTTGCTCCCACGTTAGCGCAAGCCTAGTTTTTTTGTTTTTGTTTTTTTTTGTCTGATCAACATACAGGAATCAGATTATATCTCATCAATCACTAGCAATCAAAAAAGGAGAACATTCCTCTATTGTTAGGCCGATTTGCACACTTTTATTTGTAAACGAAATTCGCTCAAGGCTAAAATCTTCTCAGAAATGATTTAATTTTCTGTGTTATGGCACAAAAGTCCTGGATTTCTGGTTTCCCATTTCTTAGCAGTTGCTACACTTGGTTGCAATCTGTTCACTCTTACAATACTATCAGGGATCATGATACTACTTTATGTGACAAAATGAATGTTCAATATGCACCTATGATTATTTAAACCGTACACATGTGAAGACAAAATCAAATTCTACCACTCAATTGAAGAAATTGCTCTTTGTCATCTTCCTCCTTCAAGGTCCACAGGAGTGTAATGTATGACAATATCTCTCTCTCCGACCATTCAGGGTTTGAGTCTTTCACTCTGTCATACCTTATATCAATGAATTCTTGTGGCGCATTGTTCATTCGGTGAACCCTCCTCATCATTGTCCTCTTAGTTGTCAGCATTGGTGTGCCTGGTCTTTCACAGTCTCTAAGAAGTACAAGTGGGTTATGGTGTTGTCTGATACCGTGCAATATTGCCCGGTCATCATTCAAGAGCGAAACAATAGGAATCATGTTCTCGAATCTGAGCAGATAGAGATATTCAATAACCGCGGATGAACGTGTAGGTGTAAGAGTAGCTGTATACAGACATGGTGAAATCATAAACAAATTCCCACCTTGGGCCAGAAGGGATCTGTGAAGACGGCGCTGGTCTAGTTCGCTCAGCAGTCGCCGCCGGCCACCGCTTGCTGCTGCCGCCTGACGGAATAAATGGGCGAGCGGCGAGCGAACGACAGCGGTGCGCTACCCGCCTCCCGCAGCGATCCGCACTGGCTCAGTGGCTAGCGCCTCGGCCAGTCATCGTGCGGAAGGGGGTTCGACACCCAGTAGGCGAGTAGCTTTTACGGTTTCTTTCTTAAAGCTGCTTCGGAATCGATTGGATTTGCCCCGGATGGTTTGACAGAGGCGGATTTGTCTACGATCCAAGTCAGAGCAGAGGTTTGCATCGGTCCACCAATCCCGGTAGCGTCCGAGACCGACAGGTGCCAATGAGATGCCCGAGCGGGCTACAATCCATCTCACTCGCTCATGTTACTTTTCACGCTCTCCCGGGACTGGTGGACCGACCGATGAAGACCTCTGGGGCTGGGTCAGAGCTGACGAGTACTTTGGCAAGTTGCGATGCGTTTCGGAGGGTACGGGGCATGTAGAGGGCAGGCGGGGAGGAGTGCTGGCGCCTTCCCACTTTCCGATTGTGTTCTTCTGCTTTATCAGAATCGACAACGTTTTGTAAGTTACCACTACGTTTGTTGGTTAACTAAAAGTTTTGTGTGATAGCACTAACCTACATCGACCTAGTTCGAGTTATAACGTGAGCGTTATGGCAGTAACTTTTAAGTCTCGAGTTTTATTTATTTGTTACAGTTAGTAACGCACAATCATGCGTTTACTAAATTGTTGTTGAATATGTAACGGGGATTGCGCTAACGTACATTTAAAGTTACATCGTATAACGTTAAATGCCACGTAGTCGGCACAAGTTTGGCGTTCAACATTAACATTTAAATAAACTTTTAAGGCCCATTTTCAATAAGTTACGGACCTCTGCTTACTTTGCGTAAGATGCACGTCTTCACCCGTTGACTGACGATGGCTGTCTCGACCTAGGGCGCGTGGCGCGTCGCGTCGACTGGCGGCTCGGGAGACGCATTATTATGTGTCATGCACAAATATTTGATTTGCTTTCTTTAAATGTCGACATCCTGAATATGCTTCTTATAAATTTTTGTATACTATGAAGTAAATTTTTAATGTTTCATTTGTCAATGAAATAATTTTAAAGATACAGATGAACTTGAAAATTACCTTCTTTATTGCTAATTAAGAATAATGTACTGTTTTCAAAGGGATCACCGCAAATTTGTCTCTCAAAGAGTTAAAATCTCTCTTTA